AAGTATGCATAACTGAGCCATGCGACTTTTTCTCACGAAATCAATCCTTAACCACAAGACCCCAATATTTTGCACCATTTGAACTTAATGAGAATTTCCTCCTCGTAGGTATATGGCGATAAGAAGGTTTTAAAAAACAAAAAAATTATATTTAAACCGAACACTAAAAATCAGTGCCATAGCGCTAAATAAATGCGCAAGGAAATGTTAAAAAAAAAGTTATTAAGCTTTTTTCTTGCTAGTGAAACTTTTATTGGGCACTGTTTGTAAGTACGTATGTATGTATGTTGTTCTACATTAGCTCAATTGTTTCGTTCGCATGTTTGCCAGACATTTTCACGAGGCTCGCAGATAATTTAGCTAAAAAGCGAAAAAAGAAACATTTTGCGAAAATAAAAAAAAGTACAATATTAATGTACACATACACAACATACACAATTCATACCCAGTCGGGTCATGTAGAAAGTGGTACCAAAAAAAAGCTTTCCTCACGTGAATCATAAAGTATATATACGTCGATATGTGCCTCGTAAATTGAGCTCATTATTTAAGTATTTTGAGATCTTGGCAAATTTTAAAGTCTGTTTTTGCGAAAGAAAATTGAACAGGTGATATTTTCGCATACTACATAATTGTGGGTGCAAGAGGAACGATGCTATCAGTTACAATATTGAGTAAGTAATTCCGACTGGGTTGTAAGAACCCAATTATCTTTCATATGCCCACTTGTTTGTTTGTACATATGTATGTATGTAAATGAATAAACATGTACATGAATATCTACTGATTTACGTACATATTAAGGGGAAGGTAGCTTGGCAAAGGTAATTAAAAAAATGCCAAAGAAGAGCTAAATATTATAATTTCACCACAATTAATGACGATTCTAATACGTAAGTATGTATGTATATAAACATATCCACTTACAAAAAAAGGAGATTTTAAGTACTCAACAATTTACAATTTAAGCAAATCTATTTTGTTCTACACCAGAAAAAGTGCTGATTCACCGTGAGCTATCATAAAAACTAGCGAAATGCAAATGCACGGTAATTTCACCAGACCATTTCGGTGACGTCATCGACCTACTATAGTGACGCATGTTTTATGGTTTGTCAAACGCTAAATTTGCTTTGTCATCGTGCGAGTGCAATATTTTTCGAGGTAATGACCAAAAAAGTACCGCCCTTCTTTAGGTACATATGGCCTTAAGTCGTTTTCGTTTAAAATTTAGCTCTTCACAAAAGTCGGTAGATTACTCACTGAAAACTTAATCAAATTTAAAATTAACTACTGCATAAAAAAATATAGTTATGTTTATTAAAAATCAATGTAATGAAGAAAATTGCAACTGCAGAACTTTATGCGGTTTTCGTTCCTACAAAAAGAAATATTTTGAAAATTTTTTTTTATTGAAAAATTTTTCACAAACAAAATTTTTTTATAAAAAAATTAGTTTTTGAAAACATGCCATCTCAAAAAAACATTGAAAAAACCCACAATGGTAGCTCTGAGTATTGCGCAATATTTAAGTATAGTATTACGGTGTCCACTCTACAATAATTTGAGTTATGAATTTTTTTACACCGAATGAGTAAAATGAGTACATTACAAATTTACAATTTTTTTTATTTTTTTTTAGAAATTTAATGGGCTACAAAACTGCATACTTAAAAAAATAAATTAAATAAAAATAAAAAATTTTTAAATTTGCAAATATGTTATGTACTCATTTTACTCAACTTCGGTGTAAAAAAAATCATAACTCAAATTATTGTAGAGTGCACCCCATAAAAGTATACTTAAATATTGCGCAATACTCAGAGCTACCATTGATTTTTTTCATTTTTTTTTTGAGATGGCATATTTATAAAACTAATTTTTTTATAAAAAAATTGTATGTGAAAAACTTTTCAAGAACAAAAAATTTTTACATTTTTATTTTCATAGAGAATTTTGATTTGTGCATGTGTGATTTTCTTCAAATTTTTTCCTCGCCACGCTCTCGAGATATTTGGAAAACTATTAAATCGATTTGATGATGCTCAAATTTCGTTTTTATTTATTATTTATGTTTATGCATCCACCCTTAAAATTTGAAACAAATCAAACACATGAAGTGTGAACCCCGCCCGTTTTGGTATGGAACGCCCCATACATATATAAATATGTATGTATGTATATGTATGTATATATACATTTTAGTCACGATTATATCACGTTGCGCGTTTTGTATTTTGTATTAATTAAACCGAATGATTAGTTGGTGATTCAAGGAACTAAAAATATTTAAGTACTCTATCTACAATACTTATTTGCAAATACATACATACATATGGATTATGCGATACAAATGTACAGATATATGTACATATATCGTCGTTATCAATGCAAATACACATACATTTTTCGGAAATATCTTTTTAAATATGTCAATGGAGTTCACTAAGACTCACGTACATTACTAGTTAGTTGTGTTGATTTTTATAAATTTTCGTAATGCTTTTTGAGCTAAACTTTTTTGTTATTTTTCTAGTTTCAAATTTTATACAATAAAATTTAGGAAAATTCGACAAATTTTCATTAAAATTTCAATTGCGAAAATCCGTCACCAAAAAAAAAAAATCCCAAAAATGAACGGGATTTTCTAGCCGTTTGAAACTTGCACATAATTAGACTAAAATTCTATGGGCTATGAAACTGCATACTCAAAAATGTTCTAAAGATTCAGATTAAAAGATTGAAATTTTTATGAAAATTTTGAGAAATTTCCAAAATTTTGTATAAAGCTTGAGTCAGTGATTTAAATGGATTTCGCAGAATCTTTCTCTCGAAAACTCCAAGAGCCGCCTCATCAGATGCTTTCACCATATGTTTATTTAAAGTTTCTCATTTATAAAATTCCGATCTGCCATTTGTGAAATTTTTATGGTTACATACATAAATATGTATTAGAGGTGCCTAAGGATTTTTATACAAAATTTTCTGATGTATGCACATTGAAATACATCGTTTGGAGGAACTTCTAGTCGAATAAAAAACGCTATTTTACGAAATGAAAATTTTATTTTTAAAGGAGTTTTTTGACATAATTTGGGTCCCTGAACAAAAATATGATCTCTTTTATTTATCAAAAAAAGCGTTACTCAGAAAAAACACAGAAAACACGTTTATTACATTTAAATTAGGGCCGAACAATGGCAATCTGACGATTTTTTCCACAGTAGTAAATTTTTTTTCAATACTACAACAATAATATTTTTTTTATATACTACAACAACAAGAAAGTTATAACACATCAAAAACT